AGCCCTGAGAGTGTTGCTGAATTGGTGGGCAGGTAAGCCAGCCCCTAGAAGTGTCTTAGCTTCAGAATCTCTGGAGTCTTGCCTTCTGCCAACAGCTCTCCTGGTTCAGCCTCCAGGGTGTGCAGCTCTTCTGCTCCGATGATCCTCTGCATCTCTTCAGTTCTGTGTTCTTATCTTGGCACAGGAGGAATGAGGGACACAGACTGATGGCCAAAAGGTGAGAAAGCAGAATTTACTGAGAAGACAGAAAAACTCCCACAGGGGTAAGCAACCCGAGGTGGTTGCCAATCTGGGGCCAAAACCTGGTGCTTATATAGCCCTAAAACCCAGCCAATTGGCTAGCACTAGCCGTCGGCTGATTGGTTAGCACTAGCTGTGCTGATTGGTCAGTACTAAGAACCAATCGGCTGCAAATAGGGGCTTAATAGTGAATGATTGGTTGACACTTAGTGGTGAGGTGATTGGTTATTTTTCAATCCTAGAAGTGTTTTCTTGCCCTAGCCTGTGGGGTTTGTCCTAGAGGTCTGCCTGAAGTTTGCTATCTTGTTAACGGGGCACCAGCCCTGTCTATCTGCCTAGCTTTCCTCTAGCTATCTCCTATCTCACAGGTACTCACCAACATCCTCCTCAAAGCCCACAGCTCATTCCAAAACCACTCTCCATATTTTTGGTTTTGTTAAAACAGCACTACACTTCCAGGTAACAAAGCCTATTAAGTAGTTATTGTTGTGTAACAAATTACCCCCAAAAGTTAGCAGCCTATAACAAACACTATCTCACATTCTCTGAGGGTCAGAAATCCAAAACTAGCTTAGCTGGGTGGCTATCTAGCTCAGGGCCTCTCATGAGATTGCAGTTATCTGTCAGCCAGCACTGCAGTCATCTCACAGCTCAACTGAGACTTGGATAACCTGTTCCTAAATTAATTCACATGGTTGTGGCAGGTTTCATGTTTACTAGTTATTGGCTGGAGGCCCTCTTCAAAGGTTGCCAGAATGTCCTTACAATAGGAAGCTAGTATCCTTCAGAGCAAGATGAGAGAGAGAGAGAACACCCTCATGAGAGAAGTTAAGTCCTTTATAACCAAATCTCAGAAATGACATACCATACCATCACTTGTGCTATTGGTCACACAGACCAACCCTGGTACAATCTGGGAAGGTGTTAGAGTTTGTATTTGTATATATGGTTTGTCTGGCCCTGCCAAGTCTCATGTTGCAGTTTGATCCTCAATGTTGAAGGCAGGTCCTGGTGGGAGGTGTTTAGATTATATGGGTAGAACCCTCATAAATGGCAGCTTGGTGCCATTCTCTAGAGAGTAAGTGCATTCTCACTCTTAGTTCCTGTGAGAACTGATCATTGAAAAGAGCCTGGCCTCTCCTCCTCTCTCTTTCTTTCTCCTCTCACCATGCGGCAGGCTCCCCTTCACCTTCCACCATGAATGGGAGCAGTCTGAGGCCCTCCCTAGATTCAGATGCTTCCTGTACAGCCTGCAGAACTGTGAGACAAATAAACCTCTTTTACTTATAAATTACCCAGCCTTAGGTATTCCATTATAGTAACACACACAAACTAGACAGAAGGGAAGACACATAGATGTGAATACCAGGAGAAAAGAATCACAGTGGCCACCTTGGAGGATGGCTACCAAAAAGGCATGGTCCAAATATTTAGCAAACTAAAATGAGGCACAATTTTTATTCAATTATGTAGAAAAAAGAAAAAAAGATAATTCATTTAAACCTTTTTTTTTATGTTGGCACAGTAACTGTCACAACTAAAGCCTGGAGAACAAAATATAGTAGTGGTACACTACCTGACTCTATAATGAACACCTGCATTATCATAATAATGTCACAAATGTTTATTAAATTCCAGCTTTGAGAATGATCCTATACATTAAGTATGAGAGCTTACTTATGACTACTGAACAGAATACAAATATTACCAACCACCTTTGATCAATGTTAAAACACAGATTTCAAAGGTTAATTGGTGAAATGGGCTGAAGAAATAGAAGAAAAACAAAAATGCTTTTAGAATCACCTTGCAGCTAGGGTGGGCTAGGTGACAATTAGGCAGACCATGCCATACGGCCTTGGGTGCTGCTGACCATGGGTGAGCTCCGGGTGCATGGACAGCCTGGCACAGCAGTCCAATTGTAGCTGTGGCAGCATGATATGTTGCCATTCCATACCAACCTGGCTACCAGAATCACCAATAGTATAGTAAAATGCTCAAGGCTCTCCAGCACAGACCATGGCTACATTGACCTTCAGCTTCAGGAAGGTCCTCCTAAAACCTATATAAGGCCAGTGCACTTGCCACTATGCTGTTTTTGATCAGCGTCTTTCTCATTATCATAGGCTCCTTCTTGCTGCTGGGCTACATCAGCAAACGGGGCAGATGAAGTCCTGACCACTGGCTTTCTGGTGTTCCTGCCAGCATTTTACCACCTGCACATCACCTACTATGCATCCAAAGGTTTCTGGGATTATTCCTGATGCCATGACTTGGATGACTAGCACCCACCTAAGCCTTGAGAAGTCGCACAATGGAACTGCCTGCCCCAGCTTTAAGATATTGAGCAGAACTCTGGCTAATGGCTAAGGAAATGTTAAATATTGGCAGTTTTCAGATGTTTAACAAAACAATACCCAGATTTTATGGGTGCATCCCAATGATGTTACTTGTGCTTACAATAAGCTATTTAGTACATGGTCTGTTTTTCATCTGCTGACGCTGGCAAAAGCTCTTGACAAGTTTTCTCAAAGAAATACGTATCATGGAAGAATAGCAAAGTTAATTGGGAAAATGGGAGATTATATGTAGTGGAAAGTTTTGCCCCTGTCACCCTCTTTAGAATTGAGCATTTCTTTTAAATAATCTTGATTATCAATTTATTTTTGTAGCAAACAGAATAATGTCTAATTTCTTATTACTAATTTATTTGTAAAATATCTAAGTATCTTATCTCCTACACTTATCTCTACCTCCATGTTCTAGTGGAAGACCTCACTAAAATAAAATTTAAAAAAAGAATCATCTTACAAAGTCAAATGATATCGTCCATATTTATAGAACAAGAAATAGAAATATAGTCAACAGAGGAATTAAAAATATTTTGTAATACACAGAGGAATGGGGTAAGCTAAATCCTTACCCACCAGAATAGCAAAAGATATGTTGAAAGTTGTTAAGTCAAGAAAAGATGATAACTTATTATGGATATGGAAATAAGTACTTGAAAAACAAAACACAGAACCAAAATTCAATTATCTCTAGAAATAAAACTGGGTGGAAGGAAAGGCAGAACAGAAAACTATTGTTTTTAGTGTACATTCTTCTATACTAGCTTTGTTTTGTTTTTTAATTTTTCATAGCCACGTGCCTCTTTCATTTTAAAAGCTAGTCCAATGTATAAAGGACACTGATGTTACAATTATTTTTAAATAAGGCAATATGTACCAAAAGTCACAAAAATATGTGACTGAGTAATTCTGCTCTCAGGAATTTACTCTAATTAAATAACTGTACATCTGCACAGCAATAAAAGACTAAGGATATTAACTACAATGTTGCTTATAATAGCAAAAAGCTCAAAGTAATAGCTTAGTGGTTAATAAGCCATAGTACATACAAAAACTGGAATACTATGTATCTATTAAAATTAGTAATGTAGATCCTTTTTATTGACACAGAAATATAATAGTAATATACTGTTATACCTAAAGCTATTGAACTGAAAAAAGAATAACCCCTTAGCATGAAAAATAATAATATACTGCTCTATAAAAAGAGGTTACAAAACCATACACAGTAAGATTCTATTTTGAGGTTTATATACATAGATGAGTAAAAAGGCATACACATACACATGTGTACAAAAATGCACAGCACACACAGAGTCTAGAAAAATATGCCAAAATATTATACCACCCAGGAGATGGTATTTCAGTTGAATGTGTATTTGCTTTTAAAGTGTTTTTCTATGTCATCTGAGTTATTTGCATATACCACTTTGTAATCTGAAAAAAATTATCTAGTTTGAAAAATAATGTGCACATACATTGACTCTGCAATTCCACCTGTAGAAATTGGTTGCAAAAAATAACAGGACAAAATGTTTATGTTATAGTTGTAGAGAAAAACAGAAAATAAGATTCTATATTGGTCAAAATACAGATAGGGAACAAAAGCCACATCAATTATTTTAACAGAGAGAATTTAATATAAAAAACTGTTAACTAGGTATTCAAAAACTGATGAGGCAAAAAAATAACACTAAAGTATCAAAAAACAACTATCAGAAAACCACAACCAGTCGAGCTCAGTGGCTCAGCCTGTAATCCCGCGCTTTGGGAGGCTGAGGTGAGTGAATTGCCTGAGCCCGAGGGTTCGAGACCCACCTGGGCAACTTGGCGAGACCTCATCTCTAAAATAAATTAAAAAATCAGCCGGGCATGGTAGTGCGTACCTGTAATTCCGGCTACTCAGAAGGCTGAGGCGGAAGGATCGCCGGAGCCCAGTGGGTCAAGGCTGCAGTGGCCAGGAGCAGCCACTGCACTCCAGTCTGGGCAACAGAGTGAGACTCCAACTCAAAAAAAAAAAAAAAAAAAGAAAGAAAACCACAACCATTCATGCTATGAGAAAAGTGTCAGGGAAACATATAAAATGGAGACCTAAAAAGATAAAAATCAAAGAACTTCAGAACTATAAGAATAATTGAATATCATCTTTTCTTGTGATTTACAGGTGTCTGTATTTGTTTGGTTGAAACTGAAGTTGTTTTGTCTCACAGAAGGGAAAAGTAAATGTATTCTGAGTAAATGAAACTATATCAAGAATATGAAAAGACAATTTCAAGTGTTTCCTGAACAATACAAATTATCTTAATAAGTAAAGGAGCTTCTGACTTCAAAGTAATGTTAGGTTCAGCATATACACAAAATTAACTAACCATCATTTTTTAAAACTATAATTTCAAAACAATCACTTACCAAACACTATTCCTTTAGCAAATGGAGGAAACAATTCTGAATGTCTGAATAAGTTTTTGTGAATTTGCCATAGTTCTTTATGTAGTTTCTTAAAATCACTGTATCTCTTCCATACAATTATCTAAAAAGAGAAAAAAAAATTAAACAAGTATCTCAATGAAACCATTTAGGTTCAGATATCTGAAAAACAAATAATCTTTTCATTAAAGTGTTCAAAACTGTCGTGCAAAGGCAAACAGATGTGCTAATCAATATAGTTAACTGTCTGAAATTAGCTAACAATGTGTGCTTTAAAAATATAAAGCAGCAATTTCTCTTTAAACTGTTCTGTTTTGGTCTTTAAATTTCATTTTAAACAAGTATGATTTTATTCATACTGAAAAAAACACTCAACCTGGTATAAAAAAGGTTCATGTATAATATAAAATGTCACTTAGTCTCTTCAAAAATTAATTACTATTGGCCTGGAAATGAGCTAGATGTCAAATATGTATCTGTCTCAAAAATAATATACCTATAAACACAAAATAATTACTTTAGACAATTTTTTAGGCAAAAGGACATACTCAGCATTTGCCCAAAAGGATAATAAACAAACCAATTAACATTTAAGAAGAAACAGCTGTCAAGAAAGTAATTAACATGAATTTTTATGTCATAAATTTTTTTTCATAATCTCAATTTATCTCAATTTAAACTAGTAATAAGGGGGCAAGGTAAATCCTGACCAGAGTATCATTAAAATTAGCATATTTCAAAAACAAAATAACAATTCCCTAGATTAGACAACACATAAAAGCAAGTTTACCTTCATTAGTCTTAATTATTATTTAACCTTACTCAGATTAAATTAAATTTGTTAAGAAAAAAGGATTTCAGACACATAGTCTTGATATCAAAATCAGCTCGTTAATCTCCACAAAACAGAGTAAAACTGAGTTTTAAATTACATTACTTAGTATTCTGGGACCTTTACTTCTGAAAAGGCTAATCATCTCACTTCTAACAAACTCTAAGATTTTCCATGTATAACAGAGTGTAATGCTGATGAGCAAATATTAGACCAGACAGGTAACCAGGTGTGATTTAAGAGACTCCTGTCAAAATATCTACTCTCACACATGTAATCCCAGCACTCTGAGAGGTCAAGGCAGGAGTATAGCTTGAGCCTAGGAGTTCAAGGCCAGCCTGGGCAACAGAGCGAGACCTCATCTCCACAAAAAAATTAGTCAGGCATGGTTGTGTGCACCTGTAGTCTCAACTACTCTAGAAGCTAGGGCTTTGGAAGGATACCCTGACCTAGAAGGTCGAGGCTGCAGTGAACCACGATCGCGCCACTGGATTCTAGCCTGGGCAACAGAGTGAGACTGGGACTCAAAACAAAAACAAAAATGTACAAAATTATGCACCAAATTTTGCCATACTAACAAAAATTCTACCTTAACTAGTAAGTTTCTTGTTATAATCATGGAATTAATTTTTAAAAACTGATTCCTCCTGGTGCTTCCCTTTTATTCACTCAAAAATAGTCACCAAAACAATATTTACATGGCCCTACTTTGTGCTAGGTATCATATTGTCACAAAATATGAAAAGAATGGAAACAGAGTCACTGCCTCCAAAGTTCACAGTCTAGTTTGAAAGAATAAGCCAACACAACTAATACTTCATAAGACAGCTTGATCAATGCTGAGAGGGGCAGCCAAAAAGTCGTCTGGAAGGAGGATCTAAATCAGCCTTGGATACCTAAGAAGTCTTTATAGAACTCTTAACCTTAGTTAAGAGTCCTGAAGAAAAGTGGTTAGTTGACCAACCAAAGAAAAGCAAAGGGGGAGGAGAACAGGAATGAAGTTTTTAAAAGGAGAGAGAGATGCCAAATAAATTATTACTGTAATGTTAGCTTTTGTAACTGGAGAAATGTAGAAGAATGAGGAAGAAGAAGCAATTTGAGGCAAGACAGAGGTTCAATTTTCAACATATTTGACTTAAGTGCTTACGAGACATCTAACTGAAGATGCTCAGTAAGATAGGTTTGGGGTAAGATCAAGAACTGAGCAAGATCTATTAATTTGGGAATCATCAGCAGACAGGTGGCAATCACTCAGGAAAAATTTCTTGCATTTGTAATGAAATGAGGAATCTAACAACAGAATTATGGCAACTCTTAAAATGGAAGGACAAGTCAGAAGTAAGAAAGAGGAATCGAAGTACGAAGTGTTTGAGAAGTCTGGCTATGCAGTGAAATGGGCCACCGGGATGGAAAAAGAGATTTTATTCTTAAATCAAAGTGAATAAAACAAACGCTGGTAGCAAAGAACCAATAGTTCCAATAAAAGAGCAAGAGGTACAAGCTGACAAAGTAAGGCCAATACTTGGAAGAGTGAAAGGTCTCAAGATAGTGAGATTACAGAATATTTTTAATTTTCTTTTTTTTTTTTTGCTCTGTAGTTCCTAATTTTGATACATGAACACAATTCTGTCACAAGAAAAAAACAATGTTATTTTTGTATTGTAAAAATATATCAAATTATGGTAGTACTACATTGCCAAGGGATTAAGGAGGAAGCAAGTGAGAAGCGTATAAAAGCAATATTTTATATAAGGTAAATGCCATTAGGAGCTGGACATGAGAGCTATTAAAAAGACTATACCTTACAGAAACCATTAGATTTGCAAATAAAATTTTTATTCTAGTTAAGGTCATCTTTAAATAATGCAAAAGTAACTTAAGGGGCAAAATTTAACAATGTAATCTTTTTTTTGTTTTTTGAGTTGGAGTCTCACTCTTGTTGCCCAGACTGGAGTGCAGTGGCCGCTCCCGGC